TATCCTATAACATAAATATAAGTCCAGATGTATTAAAGAACTATACAAACTAAAAAACTTAAGTATTAAAAGAAATACAGTATATTATTTTATTATTATTATTATTTTTTTTGAGACGGAGTCTTTGCTCTGTCCCTCAGCTGGAGTGCAGTGGCACGATTTCGGCTCACTGCAAGCTCGCCTCTCCCGGGTTCCGCCATGTCTCACTGCCTCAGCCTCGCCGAGTAGCTGGGACTACAGGCACCCGCCACCACACCCGGGCTAATTTTTTGGTATTTTTTAGTAAGACAGGGTTTCACCATGTTAGCCAGGATAGTCTTGATCTCCCTGATCTCATGATCCCGCCGCTTCGGCCTCCCAAAGTGTGGATTAAGCTGAGCCACCACGGCCCAGCATCTTTATTTTATTTTTTTTGAGGAGAGTTTCCTCTTGGTTTTTTGGCCAGGCTGGAGCGCAGGTGGCGGCGATCTTGGCTCACTGCAACCTCACCTCCCTAGAAGTGTTAAGTGATTCTCGTGCTTCAGCCTTTTGAAATAGCTGGGGATTCACGGCACACACACATGCCAGCTAATTTTGTATTTTTAGTAGAGCCGGTTTCTCATGTGCCCAGGGCGGTCTAGACTCCTGACCTCAGGTGATCCACCTGCTCAGCCTCCCAAGGCGTGGATAAAAGCAATCAGCCCATGCCCTGGCCAGAAATTTTTTCTAATTTTAAATGAAGGGGGGGCCTTCTATGAAAAGACAAAACCTAAAGTCTTAATAAAGGACAAGAGTGACAAACCTAACCTCATAAAAATTAAAGACTTCTATGCAATGAAAGATAAGTTAAAAAAACAAGTAACATATTGATTGAAAATACCTATATTTAAATGACAAAAAGGATTACTATCCAGAATAAAGGCCTTCCACAAATCAAGAAGACAAAGACAAATAACTTAAAAGAAAAATGAACAAAGGAAACAAACAGGTAATTCACAGACAACATGAAAACAGACAATAAACCATAAGAGGTTCAACCTTACTAGCAATCAGGAGAAAGTAAATTAAAACAATTGGGTAATGGCCAGACCTGGTAGTTCATGCCTGTAATCCCAGCACTTTGGGAGGTGAGGCAGGAGGATCACTTGAGCCCAGTAGTTTGAAACTAGCCTGGGCAACATAGTGAGACCCCATCTCTACAAAAAATAAAAAAATTGGCCAGGCGCAGTGGCTCACGCCTGTAATCCCAGCACTTCAGGAGGCCGAGGCGGGCGGATCACAAGGTCAGGAGTTCAAGACCAGCCTGGCCAACATGGTGGAATGCCATCTCTACAAAAAAATACAAAAATTAGCCTGGTGCCTATTTTTTAAGGCTTTCTTTAATACCAGGTGTTTTGGCATTGATTCTATTCAATGAACTATTCCATATACCATTATTTATATCACTGAGAACCCTCCAGTCTGGGTGACACAGCGAGACTCCGTCTCAGGGAAAAAAAAAATCCATTTCCTTTCTCTTTCTCGTACAGATTCTCAAAACCAGGTAAGGCGAGGCAAAAAATACTGTGGGGGAAACTGAGGCTCGCGGACTTTAACAAATGATTCTCTTGCCTTCTCCTCCTGAGTAGCTGGAATTACAGGCATGTGCCACCATGTCCAGCTAATTTTTGCATTTTTAGTAGACATGGGGTTTCACCATGTTGGCCAGGTGCCATGTTGTCCAGGCTGGTCTCAAACTCCTGAGCTCAAGCAATCTGCCTGCCTTGGCCTCCCAAAATGCTGGGATTACAGGCGTGAGCCACCACGTCCGGCCCTAACTGTACACTTCCAATGGGTGAACTGTATTGTGTATGAATCATATCTCAATAAAACTATTATGTATCTATTTAAAAGTAAAAAGAATGAGAAAGAATTGTCCCAAGTCTGCATATATCAGACACATTCCTTATTTTTGTTAACATACATGTACACCTGGACAGGCAGAGACCCACTCCCCCAATACATACATACTCATAGGAGAATCTTAGAATGATAGTGTTGTAAAGGACCTCAGAAGTCAAAAAATACCACCCTCTTCCATCCCTCTTTATCTCAGCATATTTTAGATAAGGCAAATGTCATACAGGGATTAATGGCATCCACTGACATTTTCACTTTCTGTCTCTCTCGCTTGTCATTTTCCCAGAACACTATAGCTCTTTGGAAATTTATGTTGTCTAATTTTTTTCTGCATCCTTTGTGGCATACAGAACTATGCTAAGCACATAGCAGGCCCTTATGACACTGGTTTAATTGAATATGCTTCTCTGATATCCCTGAGGAAAAAGGGGTCTCTAAGAGGAGGTAGCTAAAGGATGAGAAAACAGTAGGTCAAATCTAGCCCATTTCATCCTACCTCCAAAGATAGACTCAAAGAACGTCAGAACTGGCAGAGGAAGAAAGCATTCATAGAAAACCTACCCTGTTGGCAGCATGTTCACTGAAAGCCCGAATCACAGAAGTGACTGAAGTCCAGGGATGTGTCCAAGGTCATCATTGGTGAGGTCAGAGATAGGGTCCAGCCCTGAGTGTTCTGATGCCCGACCCCACAGTCCTCTGTGATCTCACCTTACTTTTTTTTTTTTTTTTTTTTTGGTGGGACAGAGTCTGTCTCTGTCGCACAGGCTAGAGTGCAGTGGTGTGATCTCTGCTTATTGCAACCTCAGCCTTCCGGGTTCAAGAGATTCTCCTGCCTTAGCTTCCCAAGTAGCTGGGACTACAGGCGCCTGCCACCACACCTGGCTAATTTTTGTATTTTTGTTTGTTTGTTTGAGACGGAGTCTCACTCTGTCTCCCAGGCTGCAGTGCAGTGGCACGATCTTGGTTCACTGCAACCTCCACCTCCCAGGTTCAAGCAATTCTCCTGGCTCAGCCTCCCGAGTAGCTGGGACTACAGGCGCGCACCACCAAGCCTGGCTAATTTTTTTTTTGAGACTGAGTCTTGTTCTGTCGCCCAGGCTGGAGTGCAATGGTACGATCTCGGCTCTCTGCAACCTCCACCTCCCAGGTTCAAATGATTCTCCTGCCTCAGCCTCCTGAGTAGCTGGAATTACAGGCATGTGCCACCATGTCCAGCTAATTTTTGCATTTTTAGTAGACATGGGGTTTCACCATGTTGGTCAGGCTGGACTCGAACTCCTGACCTCGTGATCTGCCTGCCTCGGCCTCCCAAAGTGCTGGGATTACCGGTGTGAACCACTGTGACCAGCCTACCCAGTTAATTTTTGTATTTCTAGTAGAAATGGGGTTTCATGGCAGGGTGCAGTGGCTCAAGCCTGTAATTCCAGCACTTTGGGAGGCCGAGACGGACGGATCACGAGGTCAGGAGATCGAGACCAACCTGGCTAACACGGTGAAACCCCGTCTCTACTAAAAAAATACAAAAAACTAGCCGGGCGTGGTGGTGGGCGCCTGTAGTCCCAGCTACTCCAGAGGCTGAGACAGGAGAATGGCGTAAACCCAGGAGGCGGAGCTTGCAGTGAGCTGAGATCCAGCCACTGCAACAGAGCGACACTCCGTCTTGAAGAAAAAAAAAAAAAGAAATGGGGTTTCACCATGTTGGCCAGGTTGGTCTCAAACTCCTAACCTCATGATCCGCCCTCCTCGGACTCCCAAAGTGCTGGGATTATAAGCATGAGCCACTGTGCCTGTACTATTCTTAATTTTTTTTTTTGAGACAGAGTTTCGCTCTGTCACCCAGGCTGGAGTGCAATGGTGCAATCTCGGTTCACTGCAACTTCAGCCTCCTGGGTTCAAGCGATTCTCCTGCCTCAGCCTCCCAAGTAGTTGGGATTAGACGCACCTGCCACCATGTCTGGCTAATTTTTGTATTTTTAGTAGAGACGGGGTTTCACCATATTGGCCAGGCTGGTCTCGAACTCTTAACCTCGTGATCTGCCCTCCTCAGACTCCCAAAGTGCTGGGATTATAGGCATGAGCCACCGTGCCTGTACTATTCTTAATTTTTTTTTTTTTTTGAGACAGAGTCTTGCTCTGTCACCCAGGCTGGAGTGCAATGGTGCAATCTTGGTTCACTGCAACTTCAGCCTCCTGGGTTCAAGCGATTCTCCTGCCTCAGCCTCCCAAGTAGTTGGGATTAGATGCGCCTGCCACCATGTCTGGCTAATTTTTGTATTTTTAGTAGAGACGGGGTTTCACCATGTTGGCCACGCTGGTCTCGAACTCCTGACCTCAAATGATCCACCTACCTTGGCCTCCCAAAGTGTTGGGATTATAGGTGTGAGCCACCAAGCCCAGCCTCTTATCTCACCTTTCAATCCCATCTGACTACCCAGGACCGTCGCCTGGAATATCCGGGTCTTGTTCCTGTCTGGACTGTCTCCGAAGTTCAAGGTGGTCAGTAAGCCCACGACGTGAGACCCTCGCCACTTCCCTGTGACTGTCCCATTCCTGGGACACAGGGTCAGCTGGCCAAAAGATCTCAAAAAAGAGACCCAGTCCTGTGAGCAAAAGAAGGGTGGGAGATGGGTGAGATGAGATTAGCAGCAAAAGCCTGTCTAGGTTGGAAGAAGAGCAGGTATGGGGGTGGGGAACTTACCTGGGGGATGTCAGGGCTGCGCAGGCCAGTCCTGTGGGTGAGGAGGAAGCTGCCAAGGCCCAGGCCGGAGAGGCCAAGGAGCAGCAGGATCAAAGTGGCACAGACCAGAGGTGGGTGGTGGGCCAGACACAGGTGCAGGTTGTGCCCTGCCTGGCAGTTGCCCATGGGGAGCAGAGGGGGCTGAGCCTCCGGGGAGAGCCTGCTGGAGGACAGGGAGGGAGAATGGGACAAGAGCACCTCTTTTACGCAAAGAGAAAAGAAAGCTCAGAGAAGACAAGGGACTTTCCAAGGCCACACAGTAAGTGGCAGAGCCAGAACAAGAATCCAAGGTTCCCGACTCCAAAAGTTCATCTTCCTGCACTGCTGGATAAATATTTGCTGCATTTAATTTCTGAAGTAATCTCAGTGGAGGCAGAGCAGGGCACTCCGTGGTGGAAGAAGGAACCCCAAAGGGAGACTTCTCAGCTGGAGAAACAGGAAGCACTGTTCTGGGGCGAGGGTTTGGCTGAGGAATAGTTCCAGCCAGAGCCCAGACAAGGGAAGATTCTGGAGAAGAACTCCACTGTGCAGCTAAACGGCTAGATCTGAATCCCTTTCTGTTACTCACTGACTCTGTGAGCTTAAGAATCCATGAAATAGGAGTTCTAAGAACACCAAGTAATAAGGATTAAACGTGGTGGATGAAGCAATCTGCGTGGTATTTGGCCATGCAGAATTCAACAGATGTCCATTTCCTTTCTCTTTCTCGTACAGATTCTCAAAACCAGGTAAGGCGAGGCAAAAAATACTGTGGGGGAAACTGAGGCTCGCGGACTTTAACATAGGACGGGTAGGGCCAAGGTCTGAACCCTGTCTCCTGCTTCCAAGTGGGGTGCTCCTTCCCACGCAAGGTGCGACAGCCTGATGGAAAAGAACTTCTGGAAGGCGAAGAGATAAACAGCGGTGGGGGGAGAAGGAGGGAGCCACGGAAATGCAGGTGTCACAAATGCTCAGCCCTGCCCCGCCTCCTGTCCGGCTGGAAGGGGGTTAAAGGGAGGAGAGGGTAGAGCCTGGGGGTCCGCGGCCGCTGGTGCACCTGAGCACCCCCTCCCCGGAAAGCCCCCGCCCCGAACGATTGCAACACCCTCGTCCCCTCCCGGTCTCGCGCGTCCGATCCGCCAGCCGCTCGCGCTTACCACTCCGGGCCCGGCGGAGGCCGGCGCCCCCTGCGACGTCACGCGCCGGGCCGCGAAGGGGCGGGGTCCGTGCTCCGCGCTTCCGTCCCCGACCCTCCTCCCCGTGCGGCCCCGCCCCAAGGACGGGTCCGCATGCGCAGTGGCCACGCGGGCGCCAGCCACGCAGCTGCCCGCCCGGGTGGGGGCGTACCAAAGGGACACCCGAGGAAGGGGCCACCGGGAAGGAAAACCTCCGCGGGAAGGGTGGAAACGGGAGGAAGGCCAGAGAGCAAGTGCGAGAAATGTCGCAGAAGCCCACAGGCTCCCTCCAGAGAGACTGGCGAGAACTGCCCTAGAAACTTGTCGCGGGCATTTTTGGGCTGTGCGTCCCCCACCCGCGCCAATAGCACAGCCCAACCGCGCCCGGGTTCCGGGTGAGGACTCGGCAACCGCTCGGAGCTGCAGGGCTGCCGCTGTAGGACTCGTCCACTGGGGCTGGAAGTGGTGTTTTGGGCTCCGCTCTTCTGTGCACCCCGATCATGCTTAATGTCTGCACCTTTTTCGTGGACCCTGGCTTTTAGTGACTCCTTAATGTATAGGATGCTGGAGCTGAAGAGTTGCTCAGTAGAGAGCATCTCGGTTCACTTCTACCCAAGTTTTAGAGGTGAGAACATCTGGCCGGAGGTAGCATGACACATGGAGCCAGGAACTTTGGGTTCAAATCCTGACTGTCCGTACCCTCGCGTAAGCCATAGCCGCGCTCTCAGGGGACTAAGCTTACCCCTCTGCTAAAGAGGATCATCCTACCTATCTCACCGGTTGGATCAGAAGCTCAAGGGGCAAAATGTGGGAAAACATGGGCCCAGTGCCCACTGAGCACACAGGACAGATGCTACTTGAAACGGAATCTATTTAATTCTACTGTGGTTTCCTTAAGGCAGAGACTATGTTGTTTGTATCACCAACCACAAAAGTTTGTGGCACAAAACCTTCGCATATACAGTCAAATGTTTTTTTTTTCTTTTCTTTTCTTTTTTTTTTTTGAGACGGGGTCTTGGTCTGTAGCCAGGCTGGAGTGCAGTGGCGCCATCTTGGCTCACTGCAACCTCCACCTCACGGGTTCAGGCGTTTCTCCTGCCTCAGCCTCCCGAGTTGCTGGGACTACAGGCGCACGCCACCACGCCCAGTTAATTTTTGTGTTTTTAGTAGAGACGGGGTTTCACCATGTTGGCCAGGATGGTCTCGATCTCTTGATCTCGTGGTCTGCCCGCCTCTGCCCCCCAAAGTGCTGAACCACCGCACCCAGCTGATTTTTTTTTTTTTTTTTAAAGACAGAGCCTTGCTCCGTCATCGCGCAGGCTGGAGTTCAGTGGCACAATCAAAGCTCACTGCAGCCTGGACGTCTTGGGCTCAAGAGATCCTTCTGCCTCAGCCTCCTGGGTAGTTGAGACAGCCAGTAGTCACACGCCACCCACCATGCCCAGCTAACTTTTGCACTGTGTGTAAGAGACGGGGTTTTGCCATTTGCCATGTTGCCCAGGTATGTCTCAAACTCCTGGCCTCAAGCAGTCCTCCTGCCTCAGCCTCCCAAAGTGCTGGGATTACAGGCGTGAGCCACCATGCCCTGACTAGTCAAATGATTTTTGACAAGGGTGCTGTGGCCATTCAGTAGAGAAAAGTATATTTTCTGTGCATCAAAGGACACAAAAGGCTGGGCATGGTGTCTCAAGCCTGTAATCCTAGCACTTTGGGAAGCCGAGGCGGGTGGATCACCTGAGGTCAGTAGTTTGAGACCAGCCTGGCCAACATGGTGAAACCCCATCTCTGCTGAAAGTACAAAATCAGCCAGGCATGGTGCCGGGCGCCTATATTCCCAGCAACTCGGGAGGCTAAGGCAGGAGAATCACTTGAACCCCCAGAGTGGAGGTTGCAGTGAGCTGAGATTGCACCACTTTACTCCAGCCTGGACAAAAGAGCAAAACTCCGTCTCAAACCCCCACCCCCCAAAAAACAAAACAAAACAAAAAAGAACAGTGAAAAAGCAACCAACAGAATGAGAGGAAATAGCAAATCATATATCTGATAAGGGGTTAATATCTATAATATATAAAGAACTACAACTCAACCACAATAAACAAGCAACTCAATTAAAAGGGCAAAGGACTTGAGTAGACGTTTCTCCAAAGAAATATATACTATACTGTAGAAATGACCAACAAGCAAATTAAAAAATGCTTAACAAAACTAACCACTAGGTAAATGAAATCAAAGCCAAAATGAGATACCACCTTATACCCATTAGGATGTCAGCTATCAAAAATCACTAACAAGTGTTGGTGAGGATGTGGAGAAATCAGAATACTTGTGCACCGTTGGTGGGAATATAAAATAGTGCAGCTGGCCTGGCGCGGTGGCTCCCGCCTGTAATCCCAGCATTTGGGAAGCTGAGGCAGGCGGATCACCTGAGGTCAGAAGTTTGAATCCACCCTGGCCAACATGGAGAAACCCCGTCTCTTCTAAAAATACAAAAATTAGCCTGGTGCAGTGACAGGTGCCTGTAATTCCAGCTACTTTGGAGGCTGAGGCAGGAGAATCACTTGAACCTGGGAGGCAGAGGTTGCAGTGAGCCGAGATCGCACCATTGCACTCCAGCCTGGGTGACAGAGCAAGACTCTGTCTCAAAAGAAAATAAAATAGTGCAGCTGCTATGGAAAACAGATACGGCCAATATGTATTAAAAAAAAAAAAAGTAGGACGGGCCGCGTGCCCCAAGCTGTAACCCCAGCACCTTTGGAGGCCGAGACTGGTGGACACCGAGTCAGGAATCAGAACCATCCTGCTAACACGTGAAACCCCGTCTCTACTAAAAAAAATACAAAAAAAAATAGCCAGCCGAGGTGGCGGGCGCCCTGTAGCCCCAGCTACTCGGCGAGGCTGAGGCATGAGAATGGCGGGGTGAACCAGGAGGCGGCAGCTGCAGTCGAAGGCTGAAGATCCGCCACTGCAACCAGCCTGGCCGGCAACGCGGACTCCGTCCTCAAAAAAAAAAAATAAAAAAAAGTTAAAAATAGGCCAGTGGTGTGGTTCACCACTGGTAATCCTAGCGTTGGAGGCCCTAGGCGGCAGATTGCCTTGACTCTAAGTTCAACAGAACCACTGGCCAAATGGAGAAATAGCAAAATACCACAAATTCGGCACATGCCGGTGGTCCCCGCTATCGGAAGGCTGAGCAGGAAGATTGCTTGAGCTGGGAGGCAAAAGGTTGCAGTAGCGGACATGGTGCCACCTGCAACTCCAGCCTGAGACAGAGTTGAGAGCTCCATCGCAAAAAAAAAAAAGGCCAGCACGGGTGGGCTTCAAGCCTGTAATCCCAGTACTCTGGCGGAAGGCTCCGAAGGCGGCGCGCGGATCACAAGGCAGGAAGGACGAGGACCATCCTGGCTAACCGGTGGAAACACCCTGCTCTACTAAAAAAAATACAAAAAACTAGCTGGGTGTGGTGGGCGGCCTGTATCCAGCTATTCGGGAGGCGAGGAGCAGAAATGGCGTGAACCGGGGGGCAGAGCTGTCAGTGGTAGCCGAGATCGCGCCACTGCACCCAAAAAACGCCCCCCCCTGGGGGCCAACAGGAGCAAGACTCCGTCTCAAAAAAAAAAAAAAAAAAAAACAAAAAGCAAAACAGATATATAATTAAATGTTAGAGTTATTTTTTCATTGCTGTTGTTTAGCAGCCCAGTAACGTGTCATACCAGTTTAAAATATGCGGTATACCAGTATTGCTGGGCAGCTGGTAGCTCACGCTAACTAACACCAACCCTTTGGTGGCTAAGGCGGGAAAGATCACTTTAACCCAGGAGTTCAACATGTTCACCTCATTTTGCCTGGGTAATGGCAAAAAGAGTGACTCACAAAATAAAAAAAATCTAGCCTGGTTGGGGCATGCCCTGTAGTCCCAGCTCTAAGTAGGCTGAGGCAGGAGAAACTCACTGAAACTAAGGAGGCAGGGGTGCAATGACTGAGATTATCCATTGCCCTCCTAGCCGAGTGA